TGGTGTGGCGTGGCAATCACCAGACAGAACACAAAGCATCTTGGGTCTTCTTTCTTTCTTCCTCCTTACATTTGTTAGAAGGGTGCCAAACGGGCAGCCCCAGAAATTAAAGCCCTTTCTGTACACAGCAGATACCGTGTATTGACAGTGACAGAGCAAGAACCAGCTTTTCTTACTCTAAAGCCCCATTCCATGTTTCAAAGCAAGGCTGCAGTAAGGAAGGATGAATTACGTTAGAATTATTTTACTGTTAAATATCATTTTACCATACTCAATCACTGCATACTGTCAGCTAGGTTCTTAATAGTCTGTAGATTCTGATAGTATCTGAATAGTCAAAACAGTATCATAAATAAAGCCCAAAGTTGCTGGGAACACCACAGTACAGATAAGTCAGGAAAAAAAGAAAAATGTCAGGTCAGTATAGCAAATGCCATAGTCTGATCTCGGCTCCAATACTCTTTGGGTCCCAGTCTACACAACCCCTCAAGAGAAGGTCTTGGGTACAATATGACAAGGTCAGATTACAGCATAAATGAGAAAAGGACTCAAGATTTCCTATTTCAGTTTCACGCATACGCCACTACTGTCTCTCCCATGAAAATGGCCATTTTTCACTACCTTAAAATGTTCACATTCACTTTTCCATTTACAGGAAGTCACATTTTATGTTACTATTGGACTGACATCTCAACAAATTACGCAATGGGAAAAACATAAAACCTTGGGAGGACAATTACTTAATGCAGTATGCACAACCCAAACATGGTAGAAAAATGCTGGCCAAAGTTAACCTGAAAAGTCAACTGAAAATAGGGTGCTGGAAAACTGCATCACATGTGCAGTTTAACTCCTTGAACACTGTGAAGCCCATCCCTTTATCTGGTACACAGTGTGTGGTAGCATATATTGTATTAGCTATTAGGTATCTACATACAAAGAGAAAAGTTCCTGTCCTGAACAATCCAGGTTGCAATAATTAATTTTTCAATTCTGCCTAGCAGAGTCATTACAGGCAGTCATTGCCCTTCGCTAGGCAGAACTGTTTCTGAGCACTCTCGCAGTGATATTTAGATATTGGCCTCATACGGAAGACCTTATCAAGCTAGGCATATTTTTGCGCTTCCAAATCATAAAGACATCCTTTACATGGACTAAGACATGTTTCACTCATATGCTGGAGAATCCACATCAGCGAAAAGACCTTGATGAAGCCAGCCTGACCAGCAGGCTTTGCTAGCGACTGTGGTCATGTAATGAAGAACTGGACACTCTAGGAGAGAACATCAAAATCACCCATCAGTGCTGAGATCGCCCAAGCTGGTTACAATGCAAACACCAGCACAAAGCTATGTGATGCAATCAAAGTCAAGGTTATGAAATGGCTTATGTTTTCATGCATGCATTCTTCAAGTATATATAGAACTGCAAGTCCTAGAGAATTTGATATCCCACATTAGTCACACTGGTTTCTACTTAAAGGCCTAACTTACTTATCCAGAATACAATCTATTCAGAGCATATTCTCCGGACATTAGCTAAACAGAGCACTGCCAAATGCTATGACACACAATCCTACTATGAGAAATATTAATTGAATGCACTTAGAAGATCACCAAACAATTTACATTTTGCCAAACACCAGGGAGTCAAAAAAAAATCAGTTACAATTACGGAAAGTATGGTAATCAAATTTATTTCAAATAAGCAAGGTGTTTTCTTCATTCTTGGTTTGCAATTCAAATGAACAGAGATAAAAGAAACAGTATGCAAACATATACAGTAGCTGGCCACCAGATACTAACTGCGCTCTGGCGGCAAGGGTGTTATATGTTATTTCAGAACTAACAAAGTACAAAATTATCCTCTAAACTGAACTCTTCCTTTTTGCTTTTTTTTTAAAAAATGTTTCTTAGCTGCCTTTAAAAACATCTAATTTACTGCATCCCTGCGTGCTAACCATAAAGTCTGCCAAGAGTCTCATAAGGAAGACAAAA